ACCACAGAGCTCTTAAGGCTGTTGGTAATTGTTTGAGATGGGTTTGAGATGGTTGTTACTCTAAATTAATGTTAACTTTGTCGTTGTTATTGAATGATCTTTCCGGTTCTGGCTCTGATGAGTTTAAGAAAACCATTGTAAATCACACAGTGAAAACACAGTCAATTCTGAAGAGAAATAAACAATCAGCCATTAAAAATGCATGTGTTGGTGAGATTATCAGAGAAAAGATTCATCAGTGCTCACTGAGACATTTAATCTTTGTCTAGATTCATTTTTATGTGGGAAAAGTCTGATATTGTGTGTGTGTGTTTTTTTTTAAAGAATAGCATTAATTTAACATTGTTTATTTATTTACAATAAATATTTTCAGTATTGTTTGAAGTGTAAAGATCAATAAGCACATCAATAAGCACCTGTATTGCCATTAGTCAGTAATGCTCGTCACAGCAGGCCTGCATAATTATACACCTTACAGATCATATCACATAACACTTGTTCCCTTTCGAAAGGGAACTCCATGCTGCGTCCTCTAGAGGGCGCTAGGGGAACACCTTCAGCGTGACCGGTGTCTGAAGCATGAATGAAAAAACAACAATGAACTTAACATTGGCAGGCGGCAGCCTATGACTTAAACAATAAAGCGACTGCGGGCATAAAAGAGAACCTGCGGAATACGTCATCCTCTTCTTTGTCTTTAAGCCTTGTGTACGGAAGCACATGGGTTTGACTCACGAGAGAGAAGGATGCGCTCACTGTTTGCATTCGCGGAACTACTAGAGCAGAGGTCTGTACTCGAGCTTTTGTCAGCGTTTGCATGAGCGCGTTCACCTCTCGAGGGAGTTGAACAAGCTTAATGCATTGCATTCACAGCGGTTTCTGTTCTTGCCTGATTCTTGAGGGAACTTAGTGTTTGAACAGAGTGTGTTTGGCTCTCGAAGGACATATAGCCATGCTGCGAGATGTGATCGCATTCAGAATGCCTTGTATGCTTGATTCTCTTTGAGAATTGAACGCCTCTCATCCGTGTTTCGGGTCTCGCGGCTGCCGAGGCGGTTAGTCAGACTGATCACGGGGTTTGTAGGCGGGGCATGGAAGGAATCTGACAAGGAGTGCTTTCTCTTTCAGAATTCCTTTTTGTTTCTATTTATTTTACAGAATAGGAACTGTGTATAATGTGAGATATCGATTGTAGTTTAATGCCGAAAACATCTGATAGCTACATTATTGGTGAAGGAGGCTCCTAACTTGGTGTAATAGCAAGTTTTTTGAGTTGTTAGACTCTGGTTTGAGCCTCCTCTGAGCCTCCTCATCCTCTCAGCCCAGGTACGTGTATTTAGGTTGAGCATGGTTTCTGCTCCTCTCGCCGAGAGAGTTATGCTGAGCGCTCTGCTCCCCAGTATTTTTGTTTGCAGTTATTTCAGGGTTTTGAGGCTCTCTGTGAGCCTCCCTGATCAGCTGTTCTTGAGCCTGGTAGCTCCCCTCCCTTTGAGGGTCGCTATGCTGAGATCACAATTCCTAGTTTTCTCTCAATAGAGCTCTCTGGCTGTTATAGGTTGTTAGGCTCTTGTGGGCCTAGTCGTTATGCAGTGTACTCCGCTCCCTAGAGCTCCGCTTAGACAGTACTATTAGTATGTAGGCTCTATCGTGAGCTTCACTAACTGTGTCTAGCGTTAAGTGTAGTCAGGTCTCCTCTCGTTTTAGGGAATCGTTATGCTGAGACCTCCACTTTTTAGAGCTTCTCAATTAGGGCTGAGTGTTGTTAGGCTTCCTCTCATTTAAGAGAGTCATTCTGCTGAAACCTCCACTCTCTAGAGCTCTGCTTAGGCAGTATTAATGTGTAGGCTCTTTCTTCTCAGCCTCACTAACTGTCTCCAGTGTTGAGTGTAGTCAGG